TAAAATTATCCTGTTTGCTACTTGCCAGCTGCACCATTGCTTTATGGCGTTAAAGTGAAATCTCTGGACATCAAGGATAGCATCTCAGAGAAACACGTGTGGAGGAAGCCAGCAGGGGAAGGATAAGGACTTCTGTCCCTAAGGAGTTAAAGTTCAAAAGTGAGATCACTCAAAAAGGATCAGAAAGTCACTCCAGGGCAGGAAAAAAAAAAATTTAAATCCCCAAATTGAAAAATGGACAGTGTGGTCACTCTTCAAATCGCTCTCCTTCCCTGTGACATCAGCACCCACTGCAGCATGTGACCCAAAAGCACTAGCAAAATACCTTCTCTGATTTTTTTCTAATTAAATGGTCACTGAAAATAGAAGTCATCCTCCAAGAAATAGTGCATTCTTTGGGGATGAAATTTTAGAAATGTCATTTACTCACAGCGGGAGACTTAAGCCAGGGGTGGAGCTTCTCATTCCACCTTTAGGCATCGTATATTTTTCGGAGGTTTTGGAAAAAGCAAAAACGTATTCAAATATTTTGACACCATCTGCAGGATGTATTTACCGAACGTCGGAGAAGAAAAAAAGTCAATGCGTTTATTGTTTTCCAGCGAACTTATTTTCCTTCCAGCTATTCAAATACCACTTTTAAAATTCCCTGTGAAAACTGACATGTCATTCCTGTTCCGAGTCCTTTTGAAATTTTCCCCGTGCAACAAATTGGGGAGACCCACCGCGCCGCACCCGCCCACCGCAGCGCTTCGCTGTGCGTTTCCTTTTGTCTTAGGATCGCAGCAAAATTTCGTTTTCCTGGGGGGGGGGGGCCTCGCCGCGGACGTGGTGCGCGCCCCTTCCAGCAAAGGCAGGGGAAGGGTCGGGCGGGACCGCAGCGGAGCGCCCTGGGCGCAGAGGAATTCCCGTCCCGCACGACGTTACGAAACTTTACAGGCAAAAGCCCTTTCGACAAAGGGGTCCCCCGAGACCCTCCGTTGCACCCCATGCGACCTGCTTCCCGTTCCCTCCACTTGCCCCGCAAGGAAGGGGCGGCGTTTCTGCTCGCCTCTGGCTTCGCCTGTGTCTCCTGCGGCGCAGCCAGAGCGCGCGGGGCCCGGCCCCCCAAATGCGCAGCGGCCTGATTTAAAATCAACCTGTACAGCTTTCCTGGCGATGGTCCTTGTGGGTGTCCGAACTCAGGTTTATGGGTTCAAACTCTGAGCTGAGCAGCGCCCTTGGCGCATCTGTCCCTGGAGCTCTTCTAGCCAAGGACGCGACCTTGACCCCCGCCCTTGGGAACGTCCGACCCGGCGTCCCTAGCGGGTAACTTAGGGTTTCAGGCCAAACAGCCGGGGCCCCGGACGAGCCTTCTCTGACCCTTGGAGGGGCGATGACCAGCCCCCCAGCTCCGCGGTCAGAGGCTGTTTCCGTGTGCGATCCCGAGCCCGCGCACCCCAAGTCCTTGGGGGTCCCTAGGGATGACTTGGCCGCGGCCCCCGGCGCGCCCGGCAGCTCCCCGGAGATGCTGCCCGGGCGAGGCCACAAGGCTTCGCTCCTCCCGGGCTCGCCCCCGCGGGCAGCGCCGAGCTGGACGGCGCCCCTCGGGCGGGCAGGGCAGGGGGCGTTTCCTGAGGGCGCAGGATTTGGAATCCCTCGGGCCGGGCAGCGCGTTCGGAAACGCGCGCTGGAGGCCTTGGAAGGCGCCTGAAGTCGGGCTTCTTCCAGGTCATTTTAAAAGAAAAACGCAAAGGCGGCTTCGCTCCGAGACCCCAGGCCCATTACAGCCAAAGGCAACTGGGCGCTCGCGGGGCGCGCCCGGGGTCTCTGGAAGGAGCGCGGGGGTGGCCCCCGGGGAGCAGCGCGAACAGCCAAAGCCGTCCGACCCGCGGGCCCGCGACGGCGGGGTCCGGGCAGAGGGTTTCGGGCAGGGGCGCCGCCGCCTGTGGTCGGGGGGCTCGGCGGCGCCGATGGCCGCTTCCTGCCTTTTCTCCCCAAACTTAGGTTCTCCTAAGCGCGACCCCAGGGCCGCGGGGAGGGCCGCCGGGCCCCGCGCCGTCGGGGCGGCCCCGGAGTGCGGCGCAGCGCCCGGTCCCCCCGCGCGGCGAGCGAGGGCGGCTGCTGCCCCCTGGCGTCCGCCCGCCGCGCGCCGCGCCTCCCCGGGCGGTGCCGCCTCCGCGCGCCCCGAGCCCGGGCCCAGGGAACCGCCCGGCGCCCCGGAGGGGCCCTCGCGGCCGCCCCGCCACGGCCCCCGCGCCCGGAGGCCCCAGCGGCGGGGCCCGAGGAGAGTCCTGGCTCCGCGGCGGCTCCGCACCCCGGCCGCGCGCCCGCAAATTGGGGAGCGCAGACGGCGGGAGGGAGCGGCCCCGCAGGGGGCGGGAGGGGACCCCTGCGCGCTGGGAAGTGGAAACGGAGAGCCCGCGGTGGGGGCGGCTCGGGTGTGGGGCGGGCAACCCCCACCCCGTCCCGGGGCGCGAGGGGCTCCCCTGGAAGAGAGGAAGAGGGGGCAGGGGCTGCGCGCGCCGGGGCGGGGCCGAGCCCCTCCAAGCCCGGAGCAAATGCCCGCGGCGCGCGGAGACCAGCCAGGGCCAAGTTCCCGCCCGCGCGCAGACCCGGGGGTTCGGCACCCCGGCCGCTCGCGCGCGCGGGGGTGGGAAGAGCAGTCGGGGCCGCTTCCGGGGCGCGGGGTGCGGGCGTCCGGGCCGGCGGGGCTCGCGCTCGGCCCGCGGGGGCGCCGCGGCTGCGGGAGGGGCGCGCCCCGGGTCGCTCTCAACTTTCTGTCCCGGCGCCGGCGCGCGGGGTCCTGCTCGGGGAGCCCGTGGCCCGCCGCGGAGCGCGCTCGGCCGGAGGCGGCTTCACGCAGCCGCCGCCCAGACGTGGCGTAAAGCCCCAGAGGGAGGAAACAACCCCCGAGCGCAAACTGCAAACCCAGACGGTGCCGTGGCGACCGGCGACCGCCGCCCCACCCCGGGAGTCAGCGCCCCTGCGCGGCAGCTGCCCGGCCGCTGGCCCGCGGAGGACCCACCCGCCGAGGAAGCGGGGGCTCGGCCGCGGCGCCCGGGGCTCCATCCCGCTCCCGCCGCGCCTCCGGGGCGCGGGCTCCTCCCTCCGGCGGGGCTCCGGACGGGCCGGGGCTGGGGGGCCGCGCGCGCGCCGCGTCCTCCCGGGGCCGGCGGCCTCTCCTGCGCCCCGCGGGCTCGGGGCCGCCGCGGCGCGTGTGTGCGGAGCCGCAGGGCCGGGCCCGCGCCGGGGCGGGGCCGGGGGCGCGCGGCGTGGCGCGCGGGGGCGCGGGGCGGCCGCGGTCTCCACCCGGCGCGTACAGTAGCGCGCGGCGGGGGCGCGCGGGCCAATTCCAGGCGCCGGTGGCCGCGGCCGCGCCCCGGCTGATACCGGAAAGGCCCGTGATTGGCCGGCGCCGGCCTATGCAAACGAGCTGAGGGAATGGAATTCCTCGGGCCGGGCTTACAGTAAAAGCACGTTCATTTCCAGGCACGCTCATTCATAGCGCCAGCGGGCCAAGGCGGGACGGGGCCCGCGGCCGACCCAGCCAGGGCACCACGCCGCCCGGCCCGCGCCGCCAGGCACCTTCCCGGGGCTCCCGGGGACGGCGGCGGAGAGCCCCGCGCGGCCGCCCCTGCGCCACCTGCACCGGAGGGAGCTTCGATCTGTATTTTCTCCTTCCACTTTTGAATGAATTGGTTTCTTGGCTGGTGGGTCCACTTCTCTCCTGGCCGTGAACTTTTCCCCGGGTGCTCGCGCTGACAGCCGGAGGAGAACGCGCGCCGGGCCGGGAGGCGAGTTCTCCAGGGGGGTGTGCGCCCCCGCGCGCGCGCGTAACTCGAGCCTCCTCCGGTGCGCTCGGGTCTGCGCGGCGGGGCCTCCCCGCCGGGCCCGCTCCACCTGCTGCGGTTTCGCGGTGAATGTGGGCACTTGCGCGCCCGGCAGTTAACCGGCGGGCGCTGGGGCGACGTTGGAGGAGGATCGTCTCGCTGCTGCCCGGGTCGGGGCTGACTCACCGCGTCCATGTAGACGGTGTCTGGCTCCGGGAAGGTGCGCGTCTGCGTGCGTGGGACTCGGCCGCTGCTCAGCTCCCCCCAAACCTCAGGAGCACCCACCCACTTCACCAGCATCCCCAAACCCAAGTTCTCCGATGCGGGGGGCTGCGCCTCGAGTGCCCGGGGCCTGGACTGTGTCTTTTTTCAATTAAGCGAGCGCGCTTTGGAAAGCTGGGTTTTGGGAACTGAGCGTGTCGCCAGCATTTATGGCGAGAACATGACAAGTCCTTCCAGCCCGGCCGTTCTCCAACTACTGAAGCTGATCTTCAAGGCTACTTAAAAAATCTGCAGCAACATTAATGGATTTCTGTTGTGTTTAAACTCTCTACAGATTGTGTTGTTAATATTTTATGAAGGGAAGCATATGTATGTATTTATATATATATGCACATACATTAGCACACCCTTTGGAAGTCGGAGCTCTTGCTTTTGAGGACTGAAGCCAGTTTTGCATGATACGAGCGGCGTCGTTTATGGAAGACACGCGCGTATTTTGTCTTGCGCTGAGACTTTAGGCAAAAGTCACTTGGGGAGGGGGTAGCGAAGCGAGAAAGAAACGGACAGGCGACCGACCACGGAACGTCCCCATTCTGTGTTTGCTGGCCCTTTCGCTCTCCGCCTTCAGCCTCTCGGACGCGCCCGGGGATTGTGCCTCCAGCAACTTTTATAACAGCCGCGCACTGGACTTAACCTCTCCAGGCTGGACTGGGGCGCAGACACGTCCCTCCCCAGGCGTTTGCCTCTGGATTCGGGGGGCCCACGGTGTAAAGCGCCGGGCGGTCGGTTGCTAGGAGCCCAGCCCGGGTCTGCGGCCGAACGGCCGGGCCCGAACTTCCCCTCGGGACAGTTAGCAGCGCGCCCCTCCCCCTGCGCCCCGCCGCCGTAGGAGCCCCTCGGGCCGGCGCGGGGCTCGGGGAGCCGCCGGCCGGAGGGAGAGCCGCGCCCGCGCCGCCGGGGGTCGGAGCCGCTTGCAGAGTCCCCACTCAACCGGCTTGTTGTGATGCGTATCCCCGTAGATGCCAGCACGAGCCGCCGCTTCACGCCGCCTTCCACCGCGCTGAGCCCCGGCAAGATGAGCGAGGCGCTGCCGCTGGGCGCCCCGGACGCGGGCGCCGCCCTGGCCGGCAAGCTGAGGAGCGGCGACCGCAGCATGGTGGACGTGCTGGCCGACCACCCGGGCGAGCTGGTGCGCACCGACAGCCCCAACTTCCTCTGCTCCGTGCTGCCCACGCACTGGCGCTGCAACAAGACGCTGCCCATCGCCTTCAAGGTACCCGGGCGGGCGCGGGCGGCGGGGGCCGGCGGGGGCCGGGCAGCGCCCGAGGGCAGCGGCCGGCGGCGGCGGGCGGGGCGGGGACCTGGACAGGGGCCGGCGCGGTCCCCCCCCGGGCGCCCGCGGTCCAGCCCGCCGCTGCGGAGACGCGGGGATGCTGCGTTACCCTGGAGACCCCGGGGTGGGGGCAGCGGCGGGGCTCGAATCATGCCAGGCGGCCCCAGAGGCGTCCACTGAGGACGGGCGGGGACACCCCAGCACCCCCGCAGGGAGCCGGAGCTTTGGTACAAAGTGGGAAGTTAGAAGCCGGCGGGGACAAGCCTGTATTCGGGCTTCTCCCTCTGCCGTGACGCGCAGATGGAGGCAGGACGTAGCGAGAGACACTCTGGTGCCTTCGGGTCAGTGGATGTAAACTGACCAGGAGACACCGTCGGGGCGCCCACCCCACCCCCAGGAGCAGCCCTATAGGAAGCAGCCTGTCCAAAGTCCGGGGCGGGCGGAGATAAGTTTGCAAAAGTTTTCTGCCGGGTTTTTGCGAGCTTCCAGCTGCCTCTGCGGAGCCTCCATAGAGAAATCCTGGTTCTTTTCCTGGAAGCCCCGCGGGCGGCACCTGGGGCTCACCTGGGCGAGAGGCGGCCGGGCTGCCCCGGGCCGGGCTGCTCCAGGGGGGCGGCTGCGGGGCGCCGGGCTGAGCAGCTGCAGGGGGCTCGGTTCCCTCCTCACCCCTGAGCTGGCCTCGCTCTGAGCTGCCTTTAAAAACCTTGGCCTTCCACTGGGATGTATAAACAACCCCGGGCGTTTTTAAACAACGACTCCACCACTCTGGCAGCAGCAGCAGGAACGGGGTTCTGCGCTCCTGGGTCTTGCTGGGGGTGGGTTTTAGTACAGTCAGGGCGGTCGGGCAGTTCCTTTTTATTTAAAGGGCTAAGGCGGGTTAGGGGACAAAATACAAAGCTGTAAAGAGCAGACACTTTAAAAAAAATCTAGTAAAATATTTGTGTCCTGTAAGGGGAGATTAATTTAATATCAGCTCTTTCTGGTTCCAGGTTTAGGCTGGAACTTAATCGCACTATAAAAATTAATGTTCAGTTTTTAAAAAAAATACTGTCACTTTTTTAAAATAAAAATTCTTTGTTTTTAAACTTTACCCACCTTCCACATTTAGATTAGGATTTCTAAAACAAAACAAAGGCGCAGTTGGCTGTGTCTCTAGAATTGCCTCCGATTTCTGAACGCAGAGGTTTTGAGGGGATGGAATGAAGCTAAATTAGGACTCTGCCCTTCCTGCCCCTTCCTCCAGTGATGTAGCTTAGGGCTGGGGGCCCATTTCAGTTTTAAATTATCTGAATCCTGAAGCCCTTTACATAGACAGACCCGGCTGGCAGATTCCCCTGCACTCGCTGGGTGAGCGGACCAGTTGGTTGGGCCCTGAGGTCACTTTCAGATAAACACAGAGGAAAGAGAGCAAGTTGATCAGCAGCCAAAAGGTCATTTACATCAGGTTGCCCCGGACACACTAAGGGTTCTGGGGCATCTATGGCTTTCTTTGGGGTCAATCTTCTGAATCGCTCCTCTTTAACCAGGAAACCCACCCCCACAACACTAAGTGATTAATAAAGAATCGTTCAGGAGTCAAAGTGATGTCGCGTCTCAAGACACCACATGACAAGTGTTTGTTCCTCTAAAGGAACAGCAGAAGTCATCTCATTGCCTTTATGAGCCAGCCAGAATTTCTTTCTAGCAGAAATCTTCATAAGTATGGAGGTTTCCTTTTAAAATTCACTCAAAAAATCATGTTTATTTTACTAAAGGATAGTTCATAGGCTGTTAAAAGAACAAGGTGTAAAGCCCTTGAAAAAAATTCAAGGGGATCTTGAGAGCCTTTGGGAGAAAGGACAGGACAGCAGAGAAATCAGCCTGCTTGATTAGTACCTGTCACCACCCAGGTCCCAGGAGCTGGGCCTTCGTGGAGGAGACCTCCCCCCTGCTGAGTGGAAAGAAAGAAACAGACACAATTTTCAGTGAGGAAACCAGCGCAAAGTTTAGGGAGAAAATAAGCTGAACTTCACAAAGTACTGTGTTCTGTCCTGGGCTTCTCCCTGCTCTTGTTCTGCCAGCCACTGCCCTGGGCATTTCTACAGAAATGATTACTTTAAATTTTGGATTTTAAATAAGCCTCAGAGAATCTGCTGACGTTTACCAGGAAAGAATGTCATTCTCTGTAAGAGGGAGGAGAAAATGTGAACTCATGATATCGTTTGGATGCTATTAAAAGAGATGTTAAGTGATTCTTGAAAAATCTGTTAAAATTCTAAGGGTAAATACACTGCCTTAATCTTTGAAACCACGGGGAGATTTTAAATTACGGACTTTCCTTAAAATAGATGAAAATTATCCTAGTTGCTTTTCCTGGGCCTGAAAATGTCCTCATGCCCCAACTTCTCCCATGAAACACCTTTATTTTTTACTATTGAGAGAGCCATATTTTACTATTGAGAAGTCTTGCAGACAGAAGCAGGCTGAAAAGCTGTCTGGCTGACTTGGGCTTTATTTTGCAATACGGTAATATTACAGTTTGTTTATACCCTCCTCGTACACCAGTGTCCATTGGTATAAACCTGCCGGCAGCAAGTTCAGAGGTCTGGGATGCTGCGGGTGATATTCCTTTTATAAGAAGGAAATAAGCAATGTTTGCCTCGGCAAACTCGTGAGTCGTAGCGATGGGGTAAATGTCGTCTGGACTGTATTCAGAGTTCAACTCCATAATGCTCTTTGAGACGCTGGAAAATTAAGGGATTTGAAATAAATGAACTGTATCTGTAATTCCAACTTAGAGTTGGTTTACAATGCCCATTTCAACTGTGACCCAGAGCAGTGTTGGGAGGTGTGTGTACTATAGAGGAGGGCTGATATTTTGCCCAACTTCCTGATGCTTTAAAAACAGAGAAGTAAAACAAAATATGAGATATGCTTTGGCCAACAAGTCCCTTCTTGTCTGTTTGGCCTGTGTTAAAATGTAAATGTTTGTGTCTCCTTACCCATTGTTTATAGCTTTTCATTCCAGTTACTTCTTTTTTACTGTTTGAAGTTAGATTTTGAAAATTGTCTTCCTATTAGCAGTGAAAAAATCTGTGTCAAATTTGTAGACATGTTAGTTTTAAAATAGAAAATATTTTTTGACCTTGCCTAATTAGGCTTGTTAATGATCAGATGACACAGATTATTAATATAATTTTTCTGGATTTCATATTTTTCCCCTTCCCCCCACCAAAAGAAATCCCTCTGAGATCAATAAAAGGCCAAATCAATGATCTTTGGTTACCAGATATCTTTCAGCCCTGCTATGATATTTTAAAGAGAGGAGAAGTTAAGTTCCTGATTTTTTTAGTCTTAAATTCCCTCATCAACAAACTTTTCTTATTTAGCATCTTGATCATATTATTCTAGACGTGTCCCTACTCAGTGCAGGTGTCTGGAACGGGCCAAATTACTAACAAGGGTGGTTTGGGAAGCAAGAGTGAGACCTGGGTCTGGAGCACTGTGATAGGAGCTAATTGCAGGCGGTGATTTAGGATACATATTGATAGTTCTAAAATAAGGTTTACTTACTTGAACATCTTTACAGAATCTGTCTCAATAATGAGTTATTCAGTTTGCAAACCATGCCGTTGAGCCAGTCCCTGTATTCATCCTACAGGTGGAATTAAAATCAAGAAGCCAGGTCATCACAGGGAAGGTGGCACAAGGAAGTAACAGTGTGTCTTCGAGGGGAGTGTTTCAACACTGGGAGCTAGTTTTACATAGGGAAGTGAAAATGGTGAAGAAAAAAAGTAGGAGAATTTTTAAGAGACTAAAGAGAGCAGAATAAACAAGCATATTTTGTGGGACTAGAAAAAATGGTAATAGTCACTACACGACTGATTGGGGAGATGTATTTCAATGATGTTTTTGAAACAAAAGGGAATTGTCCTATTACTGCTCTTAATTAAATGACAACAAACACACTTATAAATGGGAACTAAATACCTAATTAGAGGTGCTTGGGGAGTAAATAGCTGTGTTTTTAAATCTCCTTTATAGAAAACATGTCCAACAAGTGGATGGAAAGGGTTAGAAGGAAAGATGAAAGGCCTGGCCTTGTTGACATGCAAGTTGGATAAAAATAGATAAGGAAAAGGCCCACAGTTTGTCATGAGAGTCCACTCTCCTGGTATTGGCTTGGGGTTACCTCCAGCCCTTATAGTGAGTGAGTTCACTTCCCTGTCATACTCCTCACACCCAGGAGTGAACATCGTAGTGAGTAAAAGCAGTAGGTGGACCCAGATGATGGGCCAGGGTGGTGGCTAAGCAGGCACTGGGAGGGATTTTTCAGAAACATGGCTTTGCCATCACAGAAGTGAGCCTCTGACAGCCTTATATACAAACAGGAAAAGAAGACCAAAAAGATGAGTTTTACCCCCCAATTATGTACCAATTATGAGGTCAACATCAAGAAGTGGAAGACAGGGGAAAAAATAATCACTGTAGAGTGCTTTACTCTCACAACTCAAAAACAAAACAAGATTATATTGCTGGAAGGAATAACACAAATTTCTCTACTGAGAAAGTACTCTTAAGAAATAGCAGAGGGCCTCCCCAGTGGCGCAGCGGTTGAGCACTGGGCTGCGAAGCTGCCCGCAGCCTCTGCAGCACCGGTTCCATCCCCGGCCACCGGCGAGGGTCCCACATGGCGCGCAGACCTCTCCTGCCGCCCGCTGCTCCCCTCAGCAGTGTACTTCGGTCCTTCTGCCTGCTCTGCTCCCCGCTCTGGCTCTGGTGAATTCTCTCACCATCGCGCACTGCTGGCTGTACCCAGTGCTTGTATAAATAAATAAATAAATCTTTAAAAAAAAAAAAAGACAGAAAGAAAAAGAAATAGCAGAAATGACATGAACAAGTACAACATGGGACATTTGGATTTGAAATTCTATAAACTTTTAAAAATAGAAATGAGAGAACTAATAGAAATGTCCAGCATAAGAACGTAGTTTCTAGAAGGGTCAAGTGATGCCCAAGAAATGGATACTGTTACAGGAAGCATCTCCAGGCCCTGCTCTTTAGCGCATGTTACTGCTTTTTATGACCCTTGTATCAAAAATATTTATTACCGGTTTTCTTCAATGGTGCTGATAAGAATCCATTCCTCTTCAATTACATGAAAGGGGTTCCTCTTCAAGGTCAGTGGGCTTTGGAGAAAACCTCGGGCATCTATCAGCAGGTAGTTCACACATCTCAAGCTCCAGATATGAAAAAGCAACATAGTTCCACTCCCGATTCAAAGTTGCGCATCAAAGTGAATACTCCTTTGAGGTCTGTGCATTTAGTGATTAGTAATAAGCAAACAGGAGGTTTCTGATAATATTCTTTTGAGTGGGGAGGGAGAGACTAGTAGCGCAGAATTCAGTGCTAGCAAAAATCAGATGATGGAATTGAGGAGGTTGACAGAGGTGACCTGCAAAGGGACTTTAGAATCGCCCAAGAATTGTCAGCATTTCGGGTATAATGATGGAATTTAATTTTAACAGAAATCAATTTAAACACATCAAGGCCAAGTCGACCCTGTAAACCTTGTCAGGAAGGGTCTGGGCAAGTGAAAGATGGGTTAGGTTATAAACTTAAAATACAAGCTGTCCTGTGTCTCAAACATTAAGAATTAAGGAGAGGAGATGGCATGCGCGAGCAGTCTCTCCGTCACGGTGAATCTTGTCCATTTGTGCTGCGTAACCACATGCAGCTCAGGAGGTGAATTTTTGGGAAATGTTTTATGATATGAAAATTTATATTCCATCACGCATGATGGAATTCAAAGTAAACCTTCCCACTATTTTGCTTCACGTTGACTACAATTCCTTTGCAAACTAAAAAGAATCACAACGTACTTAATTTTAGAACAGTGACAGCCAAATAAGGCAAAAGCTTGTGACATGCAATGTGTGCCTTTGTCCCTTGTCTGGTGTTTAGGTGGTGGCTCTGGGGGATGTTCCAGATGGTACCCTGGTCACAGTGATGGCGGGCAACGATGAAAACTACTCAGCCGAACTGAGAAATGCTACCGCCGCCATGAAAAACCAAGTGGCAAGATTTAATGACCTCAGGTTTGTCGGTCGGAGTGGAAGAGGTATGTACCTGTCAAAACTGAGCTGGGAACGTGGAGTATTTACATGGCAACAAGGCCACATTTCCAAACTTCTAGAAGTTTCTGTCACGAGATGCCTAGAAATGCCCTTTCTTTGTGTCATTATTGCTATGTCAAGCTCCTGAAAAAAAATATTTATTTAACACTTACTGTTTGAAATGGAATCTAGCTTTACAGGATTGTTTTTTGTTATTGAATTGGTGTGAGACTGATATGGAACCTGCAAAACATGAATTGTGAATGTCAAGGAAACCCTTCAGATCTTACTAAAATGTAAAACTCTAAAGCTTAAAATTAGGATTGTGTAGTTGGGGTCCTCGCTTTGATATGGAAGGGAAATCTATTCATGGAAGCCTTCAACATAGGATCACGTGCCATCTGTGGCAAGTGACAGAGCTGGGATGGTCGCTCCTTATGATTTTTTTTTAAAGTTTTTTTTTTAAGATTTATTTATTTATATACAAGAACTGGGGCACAGGCCAGAGTTATGGGGGGTGAGAGGATTCACCAGAGACAGAGTGGGGATCAGAACAGGCAGATGGACAGAAATACACTGCTGAGGAGAGCAGTAGGCAAGACAAGAGAGGTCTGCTGCGCCATGTGGGTTGCTCCCTGGCTGGCTGGGGGATCGAACTCGTGCTTCAATGGCTGTGGCGAGCTTCATAAATTGTGTCTTAACCCCTTGCACCACCAGGGAGGCCCCCCGCTCCTCGTGATTTGAAGGGATTTGTAGCGTATGGTATTGCAATGAGGTTACAAGGCAGCTTACCTTGCTGTTGTAAAATAGGAAGAAACGATGCTGGCTCTGGTGTGGTGCAGTAGTTTGATGACAGCTGAACTTCCTATTTCGTGTAATTCAGATGCCTTATTGTTGGGGTGAAGAGTTGCACCCAGTGAACATTTTACTTGCTAATAATATTAGAGCCTGGATTATCCAGAGGATCTGTTACCTCACTGCAGGTCTCGATCTAGTTTTATTTTTCTTTGCCTTTGGCTTCTCCTCCAAAGACTAGTGAAGAGAAGGAAACTTCTTCGTGGTCATCTCTTCTGGGCCTCCAATTATTTTCAAATACTGTGTTCAAATATTTGTAAGCACTTAAGTCATATTTTATAAACAGCAATAATACTAGAAGCTTAATAGAGGGAGGTAGGGGAGTTTTTTTGAAGCTCATTTTTGTTATACACTGTTGAATAGCTTATGAATAAAAGTGATTTTGAATATCATCCAAACTCTTATAATACCTGAGTAGCATTAGATGACTTTGCATTAGGGAAATAAAAAATAAAGGAACACTGAAACATGAGTAACTGCCACTCCGTGTGAAGGTATTCAAAAATGCAAGAAAATCTGTGTTCCTAGGGAATTTGATTGGTTGAAAAGGGGCGGGGGAATAAAGGCGTGTTGATTCTTTGGGCTGCAGGTTTTGCTCTCCCAGCTGTCTGGAGCATTTTCAAAATAGAACCATAGGTGAAGAAAATAAAAACTCACAGAATGATTGAAAATATATGTTCCTTGTACTAACTGTGTTAATGACAGGGTAATGCAAAGAAAATTATATCCACTTATTGCAGGCATGAGTGAGGCTATATAGTATAAAAGCATAAGTGATTAAGTGGGTTCACTTGTTATATTAAAAGTCCCCGCCTTTCGGTAAATGGAATTCACATTATGATTCAGAGATGTGTGTTTAGAAAACATCTTGAAGGCTGCAGATGAGGAGCTGGCAGAGTGGGTGAGAAGCCAATAAAAAACAAAGGTCCACTTGCCTGGGCCAGGCCTAGCAGCCCGCTAACAATCTGAAGTCAGTTCTTGTGGATTTTTACAGCGAGGAGTGGACAGCTGGGGATGCTTTGTCACTTTTCCAGAGAAAGTATTATTACCATAATGTGCACCTGGCTGGGTCTGTGTTTCAGGTTTTGGTTATAAAAGTTTGGGAAACTCTTGAGTGACCCACACCAGTGATTTTTTTTTTCCCCATAAGGAGTTGCAGTGGCTTTCTGGCAATGCCCAGTTAGTCGGTGATAATAAAGAATGGGATTTTGAAAGCAGCGTGCTTCCTTTCCTGGCGTGGAGGGCTTGTCTCTCTTCCCTCATTGGCTGTTTCTGTTTTGAGTGGGTGACTAATAGGTGCTTGTGTTTACTTGGGGAACAGTGAGCTATTTCCCCAAGGTGTGGATTGTTTGCACTTGGCTGCCTGATTCATGCCAGTATGCCCTTGAGTTTGCATAAAACCCTAAGAGTAAAAGAGCTGCAGCCCAGGGTGGGCTGTCTTTGGGTGCCCCGGAGAGAGAAAATGAGCCTGGAGGCCATCAGGACAGTCTCTATTCTGCAGGACTGTGCTTTCCACGAGTGCTAATAAGTGACCCAAAGTACCGGAACCCAATCGAACAGTTGACCCAATCATGGTTACTAGGTATATTGTCGGCCTCGAGGGATATTGCGTTTGTGGTTGGTCCTACCAGACGGAATGAACCATCTAAAAACCCCTTTGACTCAGTCTCATCATTTTTCTCTTTAGTCGTAAAACTCAACTTGATTGAATTATGTGATTTTGAGCTGAATTTTGATTTTGCTCCAAAGTGATTCAATAGTTCTTTCAAGTGTAATGTCAAGGTTTGCCAGATATTTTTTTTTTTTTTGCAATTTGCTTCCCATTACAAAGAGACCAGATGATTCTCACTAATTTTGACAATTAGTCTTAATCTTCTTCACTGAATATTTAGTTCTTTAAAAGTTTCAGTGCATTTTATTGTGTTCTTAAGACTCTCTACTAGTTTATTCTCTGTTTTTGAAAACATGCCTGAAAATATGCCATTGGCATGGACACCACGCAGTGGCCGAGAAGGTCCTGGCTCTTGACTCATCCAAACAATTCATGCCAGTTTCGCCATCTGTCAAAAGCCAGTGGTCTGATGAATTCTGCCAGGGCTCTGGTGCTCAGTTTGCAATGAAGGACAGGAAAAAACCCTCCCTTTTCTTTAGGCAGCTGCCAGTCCATGGGGATCGTAAAACCTCGGAGAAATTGCCAGGGGTTGACTATGGAAGGGTTTTTCTCTGCTCCTCAGAACTGAACTGTCTGGGTGCTGGCTGCTGTCCAGGATCTCAGCTCCTAACCCCGGGTTCAGCCTGTAACCGGGAGAACCTGCCCTTCTGGATTTTATGGCCTGGCTGACAACACAGGCCCCTAAAAAATATTGGTGAAGGTTTGAGCCGTCTGAACCATCTTCCTTTTCTTCCCTTCCCTCCTTTCTCTCCTGCCCATTTCAGTCACGTTAAAGGTGCCTCCCGCCTTTGCAATTACCTATCATTGACCCAGTGTCCCCATGGAATCCGACAGCTCCTTTACCCCAGGAGTAGAGGGGGGCCGCTTCCAAGAGTTGAGAGGTTCCACCGAGCACACAGGTTGTTGCCTAGAACAACGGATGCTTAGTCCCCCGTTCCAGGGCTCCCTGCTCCTCCAGAAAATCGAAGTTCAGTAGCACAGAGAGTTCTCGGCGAGGTGAGTTAGCAGCCCTGGCCATGGGCAGCTGGGGCAGGTGCTACTGACCTTTTCAGTTACAAGAAAGTGTCTCATGACTCCAGCCGAGAGACGTTTAAGAAATTCTAGCAATGAAATCTGTGAGTGCTTCCGTCCCTCTTGCAGTACTTAATCAGTTGGAATCGATCAATCATTGAATACGGCTTTAGTTAATTCATTTTAGAACCAAAGAGGAAATCTAGCAGACCATATCATCAACCACATCGTAAATGGGGGAAGAGAATCCACTGCAAATTTCCTCTTGATTTTTCTGAGACTATGATTTTAAGAGTTATCTATCTATCTATCTATCTATCTATCTATCTATCTATCTATCTATCTATCTATCTATCTATCTATCTATCTATCTATCTATACAAGCACTGGGCACAGTCAGAAGCACGGGAGGGTGAGAGAATTCACCAGAGCCAGAGCGTGGAGCAGAGCAGGCAGAAGGACCAAAGTACACTGCTGAGGGGTGCAGCGGGCGGCAGGAGAGGTCTGCGTGCCCTGTGGGACCCTCCTCCGATGGCCCGGGAGCAGCTGGGGATCGAACTGGCGCTGCAGAGGCTGCGGGCAGCTTCGCAACCCAGCGCTCAACTGCTGCGCCACCGGAGAGGCCCTGAGACTATGATTTTAATCTTCTAAGAAAGTCAGGGATCATTTTGAAAATCCCTGGAAGCCTTCTCCGAAGGGGCACACCCAAAAAGGCTTGGGTGCTCACATTCATATACCTGCTCACCTGTTCACACAGGTTCACATACACTGTCAGCTTCCCAGGCCCCTGCAGCTGGTTGGAGGACCTCCAGGCACGCATGCACCTCCCCCACCTCACCAGCCACAAATCTGTGATTTGGGGACATCTCCTTAATCTTGGGGGCCAGCCTAGCACCGTCCTCGGTGTCGTTGATAATTGGAAAATGAGCAAATAAACATGGAAGGGAGTCCTCTTATAACTGGGCTGTTTGGGTCACATCAGTTTTTATTACAGCAGGACTTGGGGGATATAATTAGGGAATTAGATCCCCTTCAAACTGCTGGCCCACAAGGCTGGGGTGCTCATCGGGGATGCATGCTTGTGGTCCCTTGAAGGGAAGCGGCCCTTCCGTGTCTCTCCTCGCATGACTGCTCAGGCCCTGTCTGCAGCTCTCGCACGAGAAGCCCACACCCAGCCCGGTGAGGCCATGCCTGCTTCCTTCTGCTGGAACCCGGCTCAGCTTCTCCGTGTCCATGTTGTCCACCCCAGCAACTTCCATCAAAATAAGTCCCCTCTCCTGATGCTTTTACAAAATGAACCTCCTTCATACGGTCTGCGGTGGACGCCTGCCCAGGCATAATATTTACCCTGCCACGCTCGGGTTACTGTGCATCTGCGTGGTGGCAGTTATTTGGGGTATTCTCACCCTCGAGTTATTTTACTTTGTTGGGGGGACAAGAGCGGGGAGCTTGCCTTTCCGAGGAGTA